TTTTTTTTTTTTTTTTTTTTTTTTTTTTTTTTTTTTTTTGTTTACTGAATAATCATCAGGCAAGGCAACAAGATACATCATCATCACTTGACCCTTTTGCATTTTTCAGTTAAATGAACTCGAAAGCTCTGTATTACTTCTCGTTTAGTTGGATTAAACTTTCCGTACATGTTTACTTCTTTAGGTTGCTTCAGAAAAAGGTCTTTTCTCTATCGTCATAAACGTGCAAGTAAGCTCTCTATTTTATTTCAATTCAAAGAGGAAACTGAATGTACTATACTCCAAGTTCTGATGGTCGAGTTAATGCTATTTGTTCAGGTACCTGGTTCGACGCACTACAGCATGATATTTTATTTCGTGACGAAGGAACTAATTTCTGGATCTCTTTTGAAACGTTTTGTTGATGGCGACGATGAATTTCGCAACAGTAGGTTAAAACTCATTCCTTCAGTTCCCAAGGTATATATCTCCAGATACCATTCGATCTTCTATTGCTTGGAATTTTAGTTTTATTATTCTTTATTGATAGGTGATGAATAGGAGAGCTATGTAGGGTGTCTCTAGAAATCTTTTCAAAGTTTTGTACTTGTTTTCTGAGAAAATTTTGCACCTGTTCTCCTTATCAAGTTGACGTTCAACTGGAACGTTTTTGTTTTTGCCCCTTTTTCCTAAAATTGAGTATCATTTTTTTTAATGAAAATTCTTTCTAACCCAAAATAATAATAATAAATCACAATGATGGTATAACTCTGGATGGTTTGGATCTCTAATTTTCATTAAAAATGTCGATGGATTAAGTACCTTTGGTTCAAAACCCCCCAACGTGGTATTTAAATGTTTTATAAGAAGCCATTTTTGGTTATGTTTATTAAAAATATGAAATGATGCAGGGTTCATGGATTGTTCGCCAAAGTGTTGGAAGTACGCCATGCTTATTGGGAAAAGCAGTTGATTGCAACTATATTCGAGGGCCCAAGTATTTAGAGGTACAAACTCTCCATGACTCTTGAACTTTCCGTTGGTTTTGGCAAAGAACAAGAACAGATTCTTTAATACATTCAATCAATAGAGAAAATGCTTGTTTGTTTGTTTGTTTTAATCTCACAACACAAGTATTGTGATACTTATGAGTGATCTTTGTTCGTGCAGGTCGATGTCGATATTGGCTCTTCGACAGTTGCTAATGGAGTTTTGGGACTCGTCATTGGTGTAATTACAACATTGGTGGTTGACATGGCTTTCCTTATACAGGTTTGTTTTCAAACTCTGCAAAGTTTCTTCTTTTGTTGATGAAGATGCAATGTCGTTAATTTGAAAGTTTTGAAGTATCGCTTGAATGGTCTATTGTTAAAACGGGTCACTTATCAACAAATTTTGTTTTTCAAAAATACAACCAAGCATATCGTGTTTTATTACCCAAACAAAAAAAAAAAAAAAAAACAAGTTTATTAGTTATCTTTTTAATCCACCGTGCAATAGTTGTAAAACAACAAACAAGTTTTCAAATTTATCATTCTATTTATATTTGTAAGATACTAGAGTGAAAGGGGCTAAAGGGGGAAGAAAAATAAATTTGGAGACAAAATTTAGAGAGGTATGATATATAGAGAGACCAATTTTGGTGTGGAAATTTAATAATTAAATATGCTCATCGGGAGAAAAGGAGAAAGACAGAAAAAGAATGATGTTAAGGAATAAAAATGAGAGTTTTAAAGGCATATTTGGGGGTGGTTTTAAACTTTCGGTTATGTGATCGGAACATGTTTGAAACTAATTTTGAAACTATTCAAATGATTTTTTTCATGTTCAAAATCACTCTAAAACATATTTTTTTCTTCTTTTAAACAAGATTTTCGTACCATCAAAATTGATTGTTTAGAACAAAAGTGATTTTTAACTATTTCAAAGTCATTTCCACTCAACATGTTTTGAATTTCCACCAAGTTTACAAGTCATAGCGTTTTTTGAATCGACAATTCTTGTAGACTAAATATGGCTAGAAAATTTTTGTTAATCAAGTTGGGAAAAATAAATGGTAAAAATGGATTAGAAAAATGGTATTATTATAAAAGTGTTAAAAGCAGTTAATTTGTTTTGGCGGTGTGTAAAAAAATGTAGGCAAATACAACAGAAGAATTACCAGAGAGATTACTTGGAGCAGTGCGAATGTCTCATATTCAGCTCTCCTCAGCCATACCCTCTAACTTGGACTCATCCTCTGATTGAATTTATACATCAAATTATCCTTTCTTCCTTCTTCCTTCTTCCTTCTTCCTTCTTCCTTCTTCCTTCTTCCTTCATCACTCATTTCTCCACCCCCTCTTAATTTTCACTTCCTTCTCAATACCCCCCACACCCCCCATTGCATTCTTGTCTTCCCCAGAAGCTACACTTGTATCCATATATATATATTTTTATACATAAAAAAAGAAAAAGAAAAGTGGAAAATAGAAGAATACCTACTTCCTTCTCTGTCTTCTTATACCTTTTTTCATTAAAGGGGGTGGGGCTTTTAGGAACTGGAGTCATTCGGGGGGGGGTTGTTGTTACACGAAGCAGAAGCTAGAAAGAAAAGGATGAGATAGAACCATGCGTCCGCATCACTATATACCAGCGAGTGAGTTAATACCATTTCTCTTTTTCAAGCTCCTAATATTGAAAGATGCCTCATATTTGTGCCTTTTGATTGATTCTCTGTGGCCCCCAAAAAGGGATACTTTGGTGATCTCTTAGGGTGATAGAGGAAGGAAGAGTTTTATTACGACTATTGATAGTTTGAGCTGAATGGAAAAGAAAATGGTTGTTTTCTCAATAATACCCTCGAAGAACTTTCTCCTTGTGTACATTTTTCTTTTTTTGCACTGTATTTCTTGGAGGGAAATTGGATTTAGCAATATGCAACAAATAATCTTCAACAGTTCGTGGATTTGTAATTATGTTTTATAGTTCATAGAGTTCAATTTTATTTTCTTTCTAATGCTTACATTTTGAATGAATTTTAGTGAACTTTAAGATTTAACCGTAAAGTAATCCTTCTTGAGGTTAAATTATAGTTACAGTTTTTAGTTTGTTTGATGGGTCTTTAACTCCAAAAATAAGTCTTCTTTAATTTTAAAAAGTTTATAATAGGGCCTTAAAGTGTATAAATGTCTAAACTTTTAATCATGGACTTTTTATGTATATTCTAATTTTATATACAAAATTTATAGTTTGTGGATTTAAAGACTAATAAATCTGTTATTATTATTATTGGAATAGGTTAGGAATGTATTAAACATAAAACTAAATTTTGATTCAGTTAAATTTTAGTTTTTTTTTTAAATTATGTGTATTATTGGGCATTCCGTAAATTTCATGGACGTCAAATATTGAATAGGAATATACAGATTATGATGATGTAGCATTTACCAGAAAAGACTTCGATGCTAGCAAACAAATGATCCTCTTGGCATGAAAATGAAGGGTAATATCGACTAATAAGACCTGCCAAAAAAAAAAAAAAAAAGATGTAGTTCGCTCAATACATATGCAGTTAAACCAAATAATCCTCGTTCAATATAGAAAAGATTATTTTTGTTTTTGCAATTTATCTTAACGGGCTACATGAGCTCCTAGTAGTTTACCGGATAAATTGATAAGTCGAGCATTCTCGGCCATCTTGAAATTATTATATTTATAAATAAACCAAATATACATCAGTAACTTTTATAAGCTTGATTTCTGAAACTATAGAACAAAAAAAGAAAAGTTTATGGAATGTGGGTGAGATGATTGTGAAGTAAGAGTTCATTAGTGGAGAAGTTACGTAACCTCAAGATGATGGAAGAATGTTTAAAGCGACTTCCTTGAGAGAAGGCATGTCCTGTTGCTGATGAACACAGACGAATTTATTCCTCACTTTTCTAAGGACTTTCCAAGGACCTGGGTAGCACCTTCATTACCATCATAACAAACGGGAAATACAATAATTGAATATAATTATGGAAGAATCATCATCGGACTGGCAGGATTTAAAAGAAAGTGTCATGTGAAACCTGAAAAGAACTCCTCCTTTCTGTCCCTTGAAGTTGTGGATGTAATATACAGTCTCCATCTTGGGGAAGAGAGTCTTCGTAAGTGCCGCCAGCTTCGGGTAGAAAAATGGCGGATAATCTTTACTCTATCAAGGTCCAGTCACATAACAAACACAAAATAATAATAATAATAATAAAGGAGAACTGTGGAATTACAACCCACCAACCTGTCATGGGAAAATTCATCTCATTTTATGAAGTAAAAGAGGATTAAAAAGGACTTACAAGTCTTTCAACTTTGATCGGAAACATGAACAATTAACAATTTAGGATCATTACAAATTATAAAATAAGCAGTAATAAATTGTTGCATATTAAAGTTGAGAATTATATCATTACAAATTTAAGAGTACCAAAATCGAGTTATGAGACTAAATCATTCCAAGCTACTAAATTCAATAGACTAATATAGGTCTTATAAATTTTAAAAAATATGCCCTAGAGATTTATTAGACGCAAAGTTGAAAGTTTTAGACGCAAAGTTGAAAGTTTATACGTTAGAGTTTCGTTCATGAACCAATTAAATGAAAAAAAATTAAGATTTTGACATTTTTCTTAAATTTCAGAAACCACATAATGTCATTTTTACCGTTTTAAAAGTTGATCCCAAGCCCACTCTTCGTTCGATAATAGAAAAGATGATAAAAGGATACAGCCGGATCTAATGCGGTCGAGCTCTCCATTAAAGATTATGAGCTTTCGTGCAGTGTTTGCGACAGCTTCCTTGTAAAGCTCTTCAACCACAAGCATTTCTGCAATGGGGAAGAAGACGATGTAATTTAACCGACAAAGGGCAAATTGCTTTAAAATAAGAGGGAAAAGAAACAAAGGAAGGCTGCACTAACCATTGACATTGAAATATGGATATGCAACCAGAAAAAGTTCATCTTCTGGTTTCACACGGTCTGCCATTTTCACTTTCTCAACAAAACCAAAATCCTCAAAGAATGATGGTTTCGTGAGATAGTCCAACTTGAACGAAGCTCCCTCAAATGCTGTATTTCTTGCAAATTTTACTTCGTTGGCCTCTGGAAAGAACTACAAATGTTTCTCTTTACTATAACCAACAGTCTAGAATGTGAAAGAGCTTTTTCATGGTCAGAAAAGTGAGAGAACATCAGACAGCAAGCATATTACAAACAAAACCATGATTATAAAAAGGATGCCAGCTGCATTACATTTCCTCCTTCAAATTTCATAATATGAATGTATTTCGGAGGACAAAAGTTGATAAATCGTAAAGATAAAAGGGAAAAAGTTGATGAATCGTGAAGAAAACAAGAAGATTTTTCTAACCTATAGTCTATAGCACCAGAGAGGTTTTTAGTACTGACTGATATCATAAGGAAAAGATTGATAAGTTATTCAATGAGGCCACAGTCATATGGCTGCCCTGTAATAGATGTGGATTAAAAATCTGCATGCCTACTAATAATCACTACATATGAATTTGAAAACTTCTCCTTCATACATCTGATGATGAAAATGTGTTAGCCACATTGTGGTGGCCTCACTGAGTAGTTTCTCGAGAAAAAGGGAAAAATCTTCATAGTTTTGATCTGTATGCAGATGAAATTTTAGAGAGAAACGCATAAAAGATCGATTGCTTCTTAGTTCCTTCCAGTGATAAATTCTGTAGCATATATATGTGAATGCAAACATTTTATTTTATAAGAGAATAGAAGGATAATGCAGTAGGACATTACTACTCTGGTCCTGGTGGCTTTCAGTGGATCTATGAAGCAGTCACAAAATTGGCGAATCAATTGCATACTCTCAGTCATTTCGATTCCTCCTTCGCCATCACCTGATACATAAGGTTATATGGTCTGTAACAGGCAAAGAAAGTTACTAGAGAGGCCTGGGAACGACTTGAGATGGTAACACAATTAAAATGCAATAAATCGAGAACAGGAAGAACCTGGAACTGATTCGAGTCCAGCAGTTGGAAATTCAATCTCCTGAAGTACAATAGATTTGATCAGAAAATTCAGACTATTTTATGAATCTATAAATGCTTCTTTCCATTCCACAGAAATCAAAATGTGCTCAAACTAACCATCAACTGTTTGTTGTCTCTTAAAGCCGCTTCAGTTGCTTTTTTCGCCTGCAGTTTTTTATAGACGAGATCCGAAAATGACAGTTACATCTCAAAGTTAAACGTAATTTGAAAAAAACATGAAACGAAAAGCTAAGTGGAAGTTAATTGAAGTAGCTAACTACCAAATGACACTAAAAAACGCACACAGCATTGAAGTGATCGTAGAAAAAATGGCTCCAAGAAGTAAAAACAAACAAACAAACGAGATTTCTAAAGTGATTGAATCCAAACCTGATCAAGAAGATCAAAATAATCTCGTGGAAACGGAACGTCAAAATCAGTCGAAGTGTCGCTACTCTCGCGATTACTCGAATTCGACAGAACTCTGAGATTTCTTCCCGCCATAAACTCCAACACTGAACTAGAAAGCAAACTCCGATGAATTTTCCGGTGAGACATCCTGAAACACGCATACTACCGATAGAAACAGAGAAAAAATACTTGAGGAAAAAGAACTTCGAAGTAAAATAGAGCAGAACGCCAAAGAAAACGAGAAAGAAACTTCACGAGAAATTACATTTCGAGAAGGAAGTGGAAGAACGGCAGCCGGAATGGTAGAGCTAGAGACAAAATTCGCGTTGGAGAAATACATTTCTCCTCGATCGGAAGCCTTGCCTGAGGAATGAAGCACACTTCGTAGTGAAAAAGAAAAACAAGAGAGAGAGAATATTGATGATTGATGTTCTTTCCTCCAAACGAGAGGACCGAATGGAATCGAACAAATCTTCCATTTCACTTATTTATTTATTTCCATTTTAGATAAATATATATTTTTAATTTAGTTTTTTATTTATAAAAAATTTACTTTATTATTTTAATTTTGAAAAAAAAAATTACTCATTTAAATTAATAAAAAAGTAATAGGTAAATCCATTTAAACCCTAAAATTTAAATTTTTACCAAGTAATAAATTAATTAATTTCAATTAAATATTTGCCAAAATTCATATATATATATATATATATATATATATATATATGGTTTTAGCCGACACAAATTTGTGTTCTCTTAACTCGAAAACTCAACTAACGGCACTCGTCGGCAACTCCGATTGGAAGATGATGCCGAAGAAACTGAAGATGCAGGAGAAGGAGGAGACGTTGTCGAGGTAGAAAGTTCCTCTATTTAAGCTCCCCAAGGTTGGCAACGTAAGAGAATCATGGTTCCCGCTTCTTCTGTACCAACCACACTTTCTGTCCCTTCGTCAAGTCCAACTACTTGCACTCCCAGCAAACTGGTTCGGTTAAAAATAAAAAATAAAAAAAAAACTCAATTAAACTCAAAATACTATCTAATCTAACCTAACCTTTATGATTCAGGCGGGTCGGGTTATCGATGGCACAACTCGTGTTTTTTCTTATTTTCTTTTTTTTTTCAATTGTTTAATAATTATTTTATGCTTCTCATTTATTTTGTGATTAAAAAAATATCCCAAGAGTATATACAAAATTTCAAAAAAAAAAAAAACAAAACAAAACAAAAATGACTTATCTCCAATTTCAATTTTTTAAAAGCATGACCAAATCATTATCTATCATGTTTTTCATATAAAATGAATATTTTAAAAACATAAAAAAAATAGATTCAAATGTTTTATTTAAAAAAAAAATCATTTTACATAAAACAAAATAATTAATCATCTTAATTTAAACAATAACTACGAAACCTATTTTATTTTGTTTACATTAAAAAATATAAATAAATAAATATTAAACACGTCTCTTCTTCTTCTTCTTTTTCTTTTTTTCTTTTTTGAATAAATGGGAGAAAAACAGAAAAAGAAAAATCAATAAACAAGAAAATAGAATTTATAAAAAATTAAGGGACTAATTAAACTAAAAGACTAATTTAAAAATTTATTAAATAGAAAGCAATTAAAAACATATGGAGAAATAAAATAATTCAAAACTTTCTGAAGAACAAAGGATATTTTTACCATTTTTTAAAAAAACAAAAGAACAAAACAAGAAGAAACGAGAGAAAGCATAGAAAGATGCTAAGATCCATACCTACGGGCCGCCATTGTCACTGAACGTATCGAAACTCCTCTTTCAATCTTCATTGATTCTCTCGCTCCACCAGCTGTAGCCTCATCAACCTCCATCCCAATCCCCCATTTTAATACTCTACCCCTCTCTACGCTAAAATTTGCCCTAATTTTTCACTTCGGCATTTCATCGAACACCTTGTGCGCACATCGCTATGGCCGAGCAGAGTCCACGACCGAAGTCATCGGAGATCCAGAGCGCACCGCCGCCGAGATCTGGCAGCGGCCGGATCACGTCGACGACGAGGTCGGGCAGCGGCGGAAGCCGGAAGGATACGCCGGATTTTCACAGCATGGCGGCGAAGCTGGAGAGGGCGAAGGAGGTGTATAGGGCGTACGAAGGGCATGGGGAAAAGCCGTCGATTATGGAGATGGCGGGATGGTGTTTCTATGAACTGTGCTCGTTGTCTGTGTTGACGGTGTTGATTCCGGTTGTGTTTCCGTTGATTATCAGCCAGATTAGTGGGGCTGCGACGGAGCCGCCGCAGGGATGGTTTAAGAGCGTCATGGGCTTCGATTGCGTTCCAGGAGAAATGCAGCTGTAAGTTCGTAAGTAAAAAATATTATTTATAATTATATAAAAAATTAAAATGATTTTTACCCTTTATTTTATTTTTAAAATATATTGTAAAAATCGTTATATAATCCATTTTTATCAATTATCATATTAATTTATATGAATAATGTTATAAACTATATCGAATATATTTGTAACATATTTGTAACGACCCGGATCCATCACTCGGGGATATTGTCCTATCATTTCATTTTGGGCTTCCCCTCACGACTTTAAAAGGCATCTGATGGGGGAAGGTTTTCACACCTTATAAAGCGTGATTTGTTCTCCTCCCCGACCAATGTGGGACATCACAATCCACCTCCTTCGAGGCCAGCGTTCTTACTGGCACACCACTTCGTGTCTACTCCCTTCGGGGAACAGCGAGAAGGCTGACACATCGTCCAGTGACTAACTCTGATAATATTTTGTAACAAATCACCTTGTCAAGAGTGTGAAACCTTCTCCTAGTAAAAGTATTTTAAAGCGGAAAGCCCAAAGACAATATTTACTAACGGTGGATTTGGGTCTGGGTCGTTACGATATTTTAAACAATTTTGTCTAAAAAAATATATTTAGGGTAAATTTTTAGGAGTAAAAGAATGTTGAAAAAATTGATGAAAACAATAATAATAACGTACACGTGGATTTCTCTGATTGGCTGGACGCAGGTACCAAATACTAACGGAGCACACAATAAAAGTATCGGGCACCCGATTTTCGCCATTAATATGGACCTCAATCTCATGGGCTTTGGGCCTGATTCTGGCCGGCCCAATTCTCGTATTCGCCTCTTTCCACCTCGATTATGGCTTCAATCAACACCTCATCGCTGTCGGCGCCGTCGCCGCCGGAGCACTCTCTTGTCTTCCGACCGGCGTCTTCAGAACCGTCAAGATTTTTCCTCTTTACATTGTTTTAATCGTTATTGCTCACTCGGTTGCTTTCACCTCTCACACGCGTCACCTTGGCCTCATGCTGCGTGGCCTCGTTGGGCCGACCGTTCTTAAGGCCAAATTTGCTCAAAGAAGAACCGGGTCTGGTCTGATTTCGTCGTGCTCCACCGCCGTTGGCGGCTTGGGCGCCGCCGCTATCTCCGCCTTCACTTACCACATGCTTCGACGGTAACATTTTTCTAGATCTATGAAATTGAAAATTTGTACTAAAATATTAACTTTTTTCTAATAAAAAATTAATGGATTTTTTTTAAAATTACATGTTTAATTCACATATTTACAACAAAATTTAAATTATTTAAATGGTAATTTTTATTTTTATTTTTTTATAAATTTTTCACATATTCTATTTTTATACCACTCTAAATTTTTAATAAGTTTAATGCTTATTAGATATAAAATTAAAATTTTTAATATTATTTTGGTTCTTATATGTTTGATTTTTATTAATTTTGGTCTATTATACCGTGAAAACTCTTTACTACAAAATTATGAAATATTGTGATAAATTTTATATTGAAAAAAAATATAAAAAGAATAAATTAATAAAAAAAAAAGACCCTAAACTTTTTTAATAATATTTTTAAATTTTCAAAATAGTTTAAAAAATATTCTTATTTTAATTTGGGAGGAAACGGTTAGTATTTTATTACAAAAATACCCTTTAACTTCTAATAGTGTTTCAACCTTAAACTTTAAAAAAAAAAAAAAAATCACTGATACTCCTAAATTTTAAAAATATTAAACTTAGTACTATGTTTAAAAAATATTCATAAAATTTTAAAAGTAGCATTGACGCTCTTTACTTTTACTAAAAAAAAATAATTCTTATCGTCAATATATGAACAAAAATCATATATCAACCACTCATAAATTATTTCTGAACTTTTTAATATTATTTTTGAAATTTCATCAATATTTTAAAGAAGAAAGATCAAGTATTTTTTAATTTTTAAAAAAGTTAATTTAAAAACCATTTAAAAGTTTAATAAAACTTTTAAAAATTTACACATTTAATAATTTTTTATTAATTTAAAATTTAATATCATAAAAAATTGAAACTATAAAGTTTATGATATTTTGATTAATTTAACCAAAATAATATATTTTAAAATTGGAAGGGCCAAAATAAGCAAAATAAATAAATAAATAAATAAATTTATTTATTTATTTATTTATTTTATTTCTATGTAGTAACAGGCAAGAGAAAGAGGGAGACGAGAACCACTTCCTCAGCCTATGGATCGTCACGATCTTCGGCGGCCTGAAATGGCTTCTAGGAATTGTCCATGTCTTCCTCACAAATCGATCAGTTTCTGTAACAATCCCTTCCGATTCAGAGCTTCACCTTCTTACAATTTTCAAATATCCTCACGCAATCGGCACCGTAATCTCCGCCGGATTCCTTTCCTCCTTCACTACAATCGCCGTCTTCATCGCCGTTTCACTCTTCCTAATCGGCCAGATCTGCTTCAAGCCAGCCTTGATTCTCTATCTATGGCTAATCTACTTCCTTATCCCTCTCATTTCCCTTCCATTACTCCATCAATTTCAGATCCGAATCAAAGCCGACGCCTCTAAAATGCAGATCCTAGGGTTTATCCTCTCCGCCGTCACTTCCGCCATCTGTTTCTACTTCCACAACGACGCGTGGCGGCGCCCTGTGGTGTTCGTCTTCGCTTCTCTTCAAGGCACTGCGGCGGCGCTTCTTCATTCATACGGAAGAGTTTTGGTGCTCGATTGCTCGCCGGCGGGGAAGGAAGCTGCGATTTCGATGTGGTTTTCCTGGATGAGAGCGATTGGCGGTTGCGTTGGATTTACGGTCGCGGCGGTGGTCCCGACGAGGTTGCAGGTTTCTTCCGGTGTGGCGTTCTGTTGCGCCGTCGTCGGAGGAGTGGTGTTGATTTATGGTAATGTTACTGATTACGGCGGCGCTGTGGCGGCGGGACATGTGAAGAATGATAGTGAAAAGGGATCGCCGGTGGTTGGATTGGAGTCTCGGAGTGTGAGTAAAGAGCTCGAGTCGCCGTGAGAAATGAGAGCGATGGTTTAAATTGATTTACGATTTTTGATAATTCTTTTCTCGCGTAATAAAGGGCCCATTTCAAGTTTTATTGCTCTAACAAACTTTATTGTCAATTAAATC